CTTCCCTGTTACCTAGGAGTGAGGCCTCCATCACTTGGGTCAGCCACCACAGGCTGCCCCTCTGACCAGCTCCTGCAGGACACTCTCATTCCTGCCCTGTGGTCAGGGAGCACATTTCCACGGGGGAGCTATTCATTTGACAATCGCTCCTTTCAGCCCAGATTTGTTTTTTGATTTGTTTTCTGTTTGTCTTTTCTTCTGGGGAGGGAGGGAGAAGTGGGAGAACCTGAGCCTTTTCTGAGAGCTCTGTGTTTATTCCTCCTTCTGTTGTGTGGGGATTTTAAATGACGAGGCTTTGATTTTTCTGCCTTCTTGGGAGACTTGTGCAATTTTTAAAAAACACACTGGCTCTGGTAGTGCCTCTCTGCTTGATTTTGCTTGCTGAGGAATGAAGGGGCCTCAAAGCTGAGCTGTGACTGTCTGTGACTGTCTGCTTTTCTTCTCCCCATCTTTCGTGGGGCATCTGAAAGGCATTGACTCAGTGTGCTTTGCTGAAGGGAGAGTGACAGCAAGAGAGAGAATACGAGGGAGAAAGCCCCAGGTGGGAAGGATCACGCTAGACTCCATGTCCACGCAGATCTATGCTGGAGTACTTGTGCTTGAACACATGCGTGTGCACACACTCGCAGCTACGAGCAACCGTGTGGTCCAAAGAGGAGGCTGCAAACACACTCTGGCTTTTGGTCATTTGAGACGCGGAACACAATGCCATGCCCCAGCAGGTTGCATAAGGCAACACACATCGATCATATGCACTTGGGTACACAAGTGTGTTCCCACATCTATGTGAGACCTTGGGCAAGTATGTAAATGTATAGAAAGATGTCAGATGGAACCTGAGTGTCCACATGCACGGAAACATTTATGGAGCCTGGGTAGAGCGTCAGGAGCCTTGGGTTCAGGTCTCCACCCTACGGCCAACTACGGATAGTGTGTGTTCTTAAGCATGTGTAGAAAGGAGCAAAGATGCAGGCACACGCACGCACCTGTCTTTCTGTGGGTGTGAGCAGATGAGCACAGAGGGGTGTGTCTTTGTGTCAGTGCGCGCGCACGTGCCTGCGAGCACGTTTGGAGCGGCCGTGGGGGGCGAGGGGCCTGGGTGTGCGTGTGAGAGTGGCGGGCGCTCTCCTGGGTCTGGGTTTGCGGTGTTCACAGTCCTGGAGAGTTTAAAACGACCACGATTAAAACGACCACGAGGACCACAACAAAGAGGGACAGGAGATGGTGCAACGCCGCATACATTTCCGGAGCTCAGGAACAGGCCCCATGCCGGCTGCGATTCCAGCAGTGTCCGTTACCATGGCTATCGCTAAAAAGACACTGCTGGCTCCTCTGTTTATTTTTAAATTCCCATCCCTGTGACACCCCCTTGTGGAACTCAAACCCCATCCCCTCGTTCCCTCCCTGCTGCGTCCTTCCCTCTCAGCTGGGGAGAGGAGCCCAGTCTCCACCCAGACTCAGGGGCGGGGCACCTGGAGGAGGTGGCCAGCCTGTCACTGACACCCCCTTTCTTCCCGATATCCGTGCCTCTGGGGACGACCTAGGACCACGGGGCTCCAGGAAAACCAGAGAGCGCAGTGGGGACGATGGCTCCTGCTTGCCTTCGGGTGTGATGTCTGGCCTAGCCCGGGACTAGGTGGCGGCTGCCAGGGTCTGGGGAGGGCAGGGCATGACACAAAGGGTGGAAACTGCGATTTCATGAGCGCTGAGCCTGCTGTCCCCCGGCCAGGGAAAAGGGGAGACTGAGGAAGCTGCAGACCACAGAGCTTGGCCCCAGCTGCTGTGGGAGACCCTTCATCCTCTCACACTGCCCGTTTTGGCTCCCTGCCCAGTTTGTGACTGGGTGAGGAGGAGGCCGGACTGGGAATCGCCATGAGCGAGCGGGACGGCAGATCCAGACAGTGGGGTACCTCCTCCTGCTCCCAGGGGCTCTGCTTGTTAGCGCAGTCCTCTAAGGGTAGAGTGAAGGAGGCCCATGTCAAGTGTTCCTTTTGCATACAACGTCAGATGCCCCAGGCTGGAGTGGCAGCCCACCCCCAGCTGTGCGGGGCAACAGGGAACACAGAGGAGAGAGAGGGGCTTATTATGCCCAAGCGCTCCCCGACACAGGGTTCAGCAATAGCGGCCCTGGCTCTTCTCGCAAGACAGCTAGCCCCCTGAGGGCAGGGGCTGTGTCCTTTTAGACCATACCCAACTCTGCCTCCTGCAGGACGGTGCCTGCCCTGGGTTACAGCCGTGCTCAGTAAAGGTGCACGGAGTGAGAGCCCCGGCCTGGGAGCCTCCAAACCGGCGAGTTTCCGCACGAGATGCCAAACTGCAAGCAGGGACAGTGCTTTGCTTTTTCTCAGCATCACTTTCGTCATCTGAAAAATGAGGACCTTAGATTGAATTATCTCTACACTTCCAGCACTGACATTTCATGATTCTATTAACTAATTGAATTGGATGGACATTATGGAGAATGTGGAACAACAGGCTAATTTTTCTTTGAACATTAAACCAGATCCCCTGGCTGTGTCATAGTCAGGTCAGTGCAAAGTGAAATATAAAAGAACTTCCCCTTCGTTCCTTTCATAGGTGAGCGGATTTGCTACGTCATTTTTCGAAACCCACAATGGAAAATTTGGTGATGTGTCCCCCGTCCTGTTTGTGAGCTATCCGGTGGTTAGAATGCTTTGGTCACCAGCTGGCCATTAGGCTAAGGTGGCCATGGGCTCCCTTCAGCGGTGGCATCTGGGCTGTTGGCTGCAGCCCCTTTTGCTTCAGGAGAGAAAAGAAGGGGCTATAGAAAAATCTGAGCTGGAGAAGCAGGTCCTGGCTCCTCCAGCAGAAAGGAATGACAAAGCCATGCCTTTGCTCAAGCGAGGGGTGTAGGTGCCGGACCTCACCCCAATTCCTGCCTCTCTAGGGCCCCTCTTGGTGGTCTTTTATTTCTTTCTGATTGATGAGAATTATGGGTTGAATTATGTCACCCTGAAATTCGTGTGTGGATGTTCTAACCCCCAGTACCTCAGAATGTGACCTTGTTTGGAAACAAGGTCTGCACAGATGTCGTTAGTTAAGAGGAGGTCTTCCTGGAGCAGGGTGGGCCCTCAGTGCCATAGGACAGAGACAGGAGCTCAGGAAGAATGCCCTGTGAAGACGAAAGCAGAGTCAGTGTGATATGCTACAAGCCGAAGAATGGCAAAGGGCACCAGGAAACCACTGGGACCCGGGGGAGAGCCGTGGAGCAGAGTCTCTCTCAGACCTCAGAAAGAATCAGCCCTATCAATACCTTGACCTTGGACTTCAGCCTCCAGAACTATGAGACGATGCATTCTTGTTGTCTAAGCCACCCTGTGTGTGGTATTTTGTTACTGCAGCTGTAGCAAACTCATACGATTATAGACACCACCTGCTGGAGAAAGCTTTGAATCTGGGTTAGCTCCCCTTCACCCCACCCCCAGGACCCAGTTACATTAGGACCCAAGCACTGTAACAGCAGGTAAATATCCTCAAGGAAAATGATCTTTCCAGCCCAGTTCAGTTTCATAGCTACTACTATCAATCAGGAGGAGGTCCTTCTTTCTATCCTACCTAAATCCCACATGCTGCAGCTCCAGCCCATTATGTCTTATCTTCTCTTCAAAAAAAAAAAACAAAACAAAACAAAAATGATGATCCACCAGAACCTCCACCTCTGGGAAACAATCCATTGCATGTGGAATCTCCTTTCCATGACGGCTGACAGCTGCCACCCTCTCGCTCCAGGTAAGGCCTCCACCCTCAGCCCCCACACCCCGCCCAGACTCGCAATCCTCCAAACGTCCCCATGTGATGACCTTTTCCCCATCCGACATCCCAGCGTGGGCTGGGCGGCATCTGGCCTCCTCCCCCAACCTCCAGCCCTCGCCCCACCCCTCCCAGGTCTCCCGGAGCCCCCAACACAGGCCAGCCTTCCAGCAGACAGGGCTTGTTTGTGTGCTCGCACATGCCTTGTCTCCAAACACGGCGTGCAGAGAAGTCTAAGGACTGAGACGCGGCGGCTGGGAAATCGCGGTGACCGATGAGAGGGCCTGATTGCTTGTGCATAGCTGCTGAAAGGGGTCTTGACATTTTAAGTGCTCGTCAGAGTGAGGAATGACAGCAGCAGACAATGAGACACTTCCTCTTTGCCTTTTGCTGGCTATTAATAAGTGTTTCTGATTCTGCAGATGTGGGAGAGCTTCTGGGCCATTGGGCTGGGTGTGCTGCGTGGGTTTTTTTTCTCACTTTGTCTTTCTCCGGGTGCTGGGTTCCTCCTCTCTCCCCTGCCTCCCCCTGCGCTAGCTGCCACTCTCCTCTGCTAGGCGCTGCCGGCTGTTTGTCTTGGAGCCGGCTCTGTTAGTGCTCGGGAAATGGCATTAGGCAGCTGGACTCAGACCTGCTCTTGGCTCTTGGCTGGAATTCAATCTTAGTCCCCCTGGCCGGGACCAACTGCCACATCCCACTCACTTCCCCGAGGGTGGGAGAGGAAGGGAAAGGACCTAATGGGCTTCAGGGAAGGTAGAGAGGGGGTGTGAGGCTAGAACTGGGGACGGGGCTACCAGGAAAGTGTCAAGATGGGCCATTAAGTCAGCCAGTGCAGGCTATGGGGCTTTTTAAACCGAACTGGGAGACAGGTTTTCCCCTTCCCCCCTCCCCGCCTCCCTCCTTCCCTTCCTCCTCCCCTCTCTGCTCCTCCACAGCCCACGCTGAGCCGGTCTCCCTGCCCTGGGGAGGATGTTGTCCTCCTGCATCCAAGAGGTGACCATTTGGTATCCCAGGTTGCCTACCTGGTCCCCTAGGCTCACTGTTCTGAAATCTACCCTCTCCCCAAATTAGGGCAATCAACCATCCTGATGAGCCCGGAATCGAGAGGTTTCCCTCAGTGCCTAAGCTGGGGCTATCCCAAGGAAACCAGGACACTGAGTCCCCCTACACCAAATCCCGCCCTTGACCCTTGCCTTGGCTTCTGACACCCCTTCTCTCTGTTTGGGCAGGAAGCAGGCAGTGAGGCCGATGCAAGAGGATGGATTGAGGAGAGATGGGAAAGACTCCCCACACTGGACGCGTGACCTTCTTGTCCCAGCAAAAGAGAAGAGAGGAGATTGGTCCCTAGCGATGCCCTCCACCCCCCCACCCCCAGCGGAAGCCTCAGGGTCTATGGGGGGAAAGAAGGCCTGGGGGAACCGAGTGCAGCCAGGAGTAGCCCCCTGCTCCCAGGGCCCACCTGGCACTCCGCTGCCTGTGCCCTCATCCCCTCCTCCCCCTCCCTGAGCCAGGCCCCTCCAGCCAGCCCCCCTCCAGCCTGGCTTCACTGGAGTCCAACTCCAAAGCCTTATCCCAAGCCCGCAGCCTCTGGATCTCTTTATTCTGATTCAATTACATACACAATATGAGCTTTGCAAACAGAAAATTACACGCTGCAATAATTGAATTCCTTCCTGGACTTGAAGCTTGCTGGGCTGTGGTGTGGAGCAGCTCCCAGATACCCAGCCTTGCCCCAGGGCCCCACCTGCACCTAGCGAAGTCATAACTAACATTTAAACATCATTTTATAGTTAATGGCGTTTCCGCCCCCTCCATCTCCTTAGAATTTTATAGCTATGTAAAGTAAGATATATATGTGTGTATATGTGTGTATATATATATACACACGCATACCCCATTATTGTTAATATTTAGCAATCCCTCTCTACAAATGAGGAAACTGAAACAATGAATAATTACAAGACGTTCTTAAGGTAACAGAACAGGTAATTATAGCACAACCAAGACCCAAATCTGAGACAAATGTCATGTTTTTTCCCAATCAGCCTGATCCCCGTTTCCTGGCAGCCCGGATTAGCACACGGGCCTGGTTCCCCTGGTCCCCCATGGCTCAGGAATAAAGAGGATAATTCCTTTTCTCCCCTCCCACAAGCCTTGGTCCATATGTCATCTCCAGAGCTGGAGACACAATCCATCCTGTTCCCAACCACAAACCAAAGCTATTGTTTCAAAACCCATGAAATGCTTACATACAAAGGTAATTGCTGGTCACCGTAAGGAGAATGTCTTCCCCTCATTGGTCTACCAAACCTTTTGCCTCTAGGACCAACAAGGCAATGACTTTGATTTCGTTCCCCCTGCCCTTCCTTTAATATTAAGCCAAACACACTAGATGCTTAGACGTCTGCAGCAAATGTGGCTGTGACTTCTGTGGCCCTAGACAGCATTCCCTCCATGAACTTTTATTGAGCATCTGCTGTGTGATGGGCATTGTTACGTCATTCAATTCTCACAGTAAATTAATGAAATTGGCACCACTATGTGTCTTTTAGAGACAGGCAACTAGGGTTGAGAGCAGCAAAGATGCTCACCCAAGTTCCTATTCCCCATAAGGACTAAAATCCAGGTCCACCAGTGGCAGGGCCTGTGCTCTCACCCACGGTACCACGTGGGTGGTTGATTAGGGATGGGGCTCCTTCCTCCCTCATTCTGGCCAATCTTATCTTTGAACTGGACTATGGGATTCCCTCCTTAATCGCCTCCATCATTTTGGTCTTATGTGCATTAAATCTATCCTCTCTTCTCAGCTAGTATGTTTTTTTTTTAAATAAACAACTCTGACAAAGCCATTCCCAGGCTCCAAGGAAAATTCAATAGTTCCCAACTACTTACAGAAAAAACACAAAGTTCAAACTCCATGGAATACTGGGCAAGTCACTCTGTGATCCCTGCTTATCTCCAGAGTCCTGTCCTCTGCCTCTTTTAGCCTTGCATTGTACTCTAGGTTTATGCTAAACTGCTTCTAATTCTTTTGCTGCAAACACAGGGCAGTTTCATACTTCAACGTTGGTATGTATACTTCCCTTTCTCCCCTGAATGCCCTTCCTACTTTGATGGGCTTAATCCTACTTCTTCATCAAGGCTCAGCCCAGACATTATCCCTTCCAGAAAACCTTTGCTGAGTGTCAGGCCAGCCAAGTCTTCTGTGCTGTGGTCCCATAGCCCCACTGTGCACTGCCTTCAGAGGGCAACTACCTGTTCACATGTCTGTGACCCCTCCCCCGGTCCCCAGTCCTGGACTGGGAATACATCACACAGAGACTGTATCATTCTGTCTGTGCCCTAGCACCTAATAGCGCTCCTGGACCGTAGTAATCTCTCGCTAAATATTTGTTGAAAGTCTTTAAGTCACCATGTTTAGCTGGATGACAGTACATGCACAATCATATCCTCCTAAGTATGGAACCTCAGAAGATTTTCTGAGTCCTGACACTGAATATAAAAGGAAGTATTTGCCCATGTGGCCTCGAGTTATATGCGTCAAAGAAAACTCTGTTTCTTAGAGCTGCAGAATAATCCTAAAATTAAAAGTTCTCTTCTTACACATCAACTAACTTCTCATTGATTTCCTAGACGGTCCTAGAAAAATGAGATGGAAGTTTTTAGCCGAGTGCCAAGTTCACTTGTCAGTCCAAGGCTATCCTGATACACGGGTAGTAGACAAGGCAGAGAAGCCAATGTTCTTCCTCCAGAGACTGTTACAGGCACCATGGTCACAAGAGGAAACTTGGGCAAATGAAGACATTTACTATGCACCTAATAAAGAAGATTCAATATTGCAAAGGTGTCAATTCCCTGCAAATGAATCTATAAATAATTAATGCATGCATTCCCAATCAAAATACCAACAAGATTTTTCATAGAACTTGACAAGCTAATTTTGAAATCTATATTGAAAAATAAATATCAAGAAAATCAAGATAATTAAAGAGAAAAAAAAAAGAAAGGGGAACTTGCCCTCTCAGATATCAAAACATACTAATAAATGTATGGTATTTAAACAGTAAAATTCTGTGATATTTTACAGGTGGAAACAGGTGGATACTTTAGAATGCCAAGCTCAGAAATAAACACATACATTTTCTGGGCACATGAGAGGCACAAGATACATATTTGTTAAATAAGTAAATAAAAGTGGCATTTCACACCAGTGGCACAATAAATTGGAGGGGGACAATTAATTATTTATCAAGAAAAAATACAGGTAGATTCTCTGCCTGGTACCAGTTACAAAAATAAATTCCAAATAGCTTAAAAACACAAGTATAGGCCGGGCGCGGTGGCTCACGCCTGTAATCCTAGCACTCTGGGAGGCCGAGGCGGGTGGATTGCTCGAGGTTGGGAGTTCGAAACCATCCTGAGCGAGACCCCGTCTCTACTAAAAATAGAAAGAAATTAATTGACCAACTAAAAATATATATACAAAAAATTAGCCGGGCATTGTGGCGCATGCCTGTAGTCCCAGCTACTTGGGAGGCTGAGGCAGCAGGATTGCTTGAGCCCAGGAGTTTGAGGTTGCTGTGAGCTACGCTGACGCCACGGCACTCACTCTAGCCAGGGCAACAAAAGTGAGACTCTGTCTCAAAAAAAAAAAAAAAAAAAAAAACACAAGTATAAGAATATCTGTGATATTAGAAGAGACTATAGAATGATTTCTTTATGCTCTTAGGGTCGGGAGGGCCTTCTTATTATAGATGAAAATAGGCAAAAGATATAGAGCAGGGGTTGGCTAACTACTGCCTATATAACTAATCCACCCTGCCACCTAGTTTTGTAAAAAAAAAAAAAAAAAAAAAAAAGTCTTATTGGGACACAGCCTCATCCATTTGTTATGTATTGTCTATGGCTGCTTTCATGCTGCAGCGGCAGAGTTGAGTGCTTGGTGACACAGACTATAACTTGCAAAGCCAAAAACATTTACTATCCGGAGTAAAAAGGTTTGATAAATATAATCACTACGTCAAAAATTAAAACTTGTCAGTAACAGAGATGCCACTAGCAAAGTTCAGAAGACAACACACAAATTTAAAGACAATGTTTTCAAGATGTATAACAGTGGATTATTACTGAGGCTATATAAAGGCTGCCTACAAATCAAGAGTCATTCTAACAAGAAAGAGATAGGAACCCCATAGAAGAGCGGGCAGAGGATATGAATAGGAAATTCACAGGAAACAGAAAGATGAAGGGCCGGGCGTGGTGGCCTATAATATAGGTGGCCTATAATCCTAGCACTCTGGGAGGCTGAGGTGGGAGGATTGCTATAGGTGGCCTATAATCCTAGCACTCTGGGAGGCTGAGGTGGGAGGATTGCTTGAGATCAGGAGTTCAAGACCAGCCTGAGCAAGAGCGAGACCCGTTTCTACTAATAATAGAAACAATTTGCCAGGCACGGTGGTGTGCACCTGTAGTCTCAGCAACTTGCGAGGCTGAGGCAGGAGGATCGCCTGAGCCCAGGAGTTTGAGGTTGCTGTGAGTTAGGCTGTCACCACAGCACAGGTGTGACAGAGCAAGACTCTGTCTCAAAATAAACAAAAAATGAAACACGACGGAATCCTCAAAACTAGGTAACCCGAAGGACATTTAATGAAAGAACTGTTTATAAAGTTATGGGCTGGACTTAAACAAAGAATGATGTAGTACCTTGGGGCCGGTAATTTTATGATACATGTATTTTAAGTTATATATATTTTAACACAATAAAATAGAGTGGATCCCCCAACCCCCTAAAAAGGCATTAAAAATCAACCATATGGTGTTTTAAAATATCAAAATAGAGATAGGTTAAAAAATAAAGACAAGTTGAAAATAAAAGATGTGAACTTCAAAGTAGGAGCATAATAAAGCTCATGGGGCTATATTCTATGAGAAAATATCGATTTCAAGACTAAAAGTGGTACCTGGAATAAAAAAGTCGTTGTATAATGAGTCAATCCATTAAAAAGACTTAAGAATCTTACATTTCTATGCATGTAATAAATAATAGAGCTTCAAATACAGAAAGTAAAAGTTGACAAATCTAAAGGGAGAAACTGAGAAATACACAAATATAGTGTTTATTTTAACAAATTCAGTAATTGATAAAATAAGTAGCGAAGTATCAGCAAAGGTATAAATGGTTTGATAAATGGGTAGCTGTTACTACCCAAAGGCTGATAATGCAAGAGAAAGAATAGAAACCTGGGAGAACTGTGTGCAGAGGGCTATCTGACAGGAGCTGTGGCTTGGGACACAAGGATGTACCAACCTATGGTGACCTGGCAGAGAAGGAGAAAAAGGAATTAATTCCCCAGCCTCATTCTCCTCCCACCCTCTGGATCGTCTGTTGGCTGACCCCAGTGGTGACAAGGACGAGGAGCCTGTTGACACAGTCCTTGCAGGTCAGCTTCCCAGACAATGGAATGGAGAAATGTGGAGAGTGGATCTGAGGGCAAACTGAAGGTATGCGGCACACTGGTAATCAGGGGAATGAAAATCAAAGCAACCGTGAGATACCCCTTGTCAGCCACAAGAAT